TTTTGACTTTCTCCAAGGTTTCGCCTTTCGCCAGGGGCTTCACCAGATTTCGTGGATTGGCCAGGTTTTGCCAGTTTCGCCAGGTTTCGCCAGTTTCGCCAGGTTTCGCCAGTTTCATCAAGTCTCACCAGTTACGCTGGGAGTTTCGTCTTTCGTTTTTCGGGTTTAGTTTTCGTCTTTCGCCATTTGCCCAAAATTGTTTCGCCTAATAACATTAGTCTAGACTCCTAGTGGGGATGTCTAGACTCCTGGTGTTGCATTTGACGATGCGTATCTTGATATGACTTATTGTATTTACCAATAGAATCAGGAGATCAAATCTTCTTGATGTGTAAAGATAGGCTGTGGAGTTTCACCAGAGTGGCTTTGAAGATTAACCTTTTATAAGACTGTAGTAGCTTATTGATTAAGGTTTTCAATTCATTGTACTCTTAGAACCATAGCTTGTGAAATTATTAAATATTAAATGGAACAAATAGAACATGAATGTCAATCATCTAAAACGCTCACATTTAGCTCTTCGATAGTGGCATTATTGGGTTCTTCGTATATTAATTTATTTCTGATTTTTTGTTCCTTTAGGAATTTTAAGCAAGTTTACATTTTGGTCAGATACAGCAATTTTCTTTCTAAATTTTCTGGCAATTATTCCTTTAACATGTTAGCTATATGAAGGTAATTTTCTTAACATTTTAGTAAATGTGCTTATGTTCTCTCTCGGCCATATAATTGACACAATTTATCTGCAGTGTCAAATGAAATTTCTTTAAGTGCGACGTCGTCAGTTGAATGGTTATGCAATTTAAGTGGCAATTTGGTTGAATTCATCACTTATGCTATTATGCCTAACGATGGGTTAGTTAGTGTAGTTCAAGGTATAGAGCATATTTTAGTTAACGCCACTTTTTCGCATTTAAATATACTATATTAAAAGAACCGCACTTTAACTAGCATCAATTTTTGGCTCGATCCTTTCGGATCTGCTTCCGGTATAAGTCTATATAATTCCTTGACGTTGCAATTATCAAATTATATCTAAGCATTAATATTAATTGTATTCATTTTATGTTCTGGGATTTAGTCTTTTCTAGGAGGAATTAAGTAAATTCATGTCCTGCGGAAAAATTTGCATAATTCTATCCACTAACTAATTGCTATCCACGCCATGATGAAGACGAGACATTACCTACGTTTTAGCGTTAGAGCAGCACAAACTTTCCAATCTTTTACGATGTTGATGGTGTTAGTGATTACAATTCCCGCAGCATATTCAGCAAATGTATATCTCAGTCAACAAGAAGAATTGTATATAAGTCGTGAATTGTCAATGACCATATTGGTTGCATATTTTCTTTATATTTGCTTTAGGGATTGAACTCATAAACATTACCATGGTTACGATGATAACGATGATAATCCAAAATCAAAAACAACACTTTATGTAACTATACCTGTGTAAGTTTTATTTATCCATATTTTTGAAATCCAGTACGCATATAATTAATAAAACCTAAATTTTACATAGGTTAATTCTTTTAACAATTATTGCCACTATTTGTGCGGATTATCTTTCTGAAAGCCTCACTGGTTTGGCCGAAAGTTGGAATATCTCAACTAAATTTATAGATCTTAAACTAGAGGTGCAGTTTGTTGCAGAGAGTAAGAAGTTTATTAATGTATACTGTGTTAAGCTATAGGTATTTTAGTGGATAATTAGGATTTATTTATTATAATTTAGAGGTTTGTTAAGATGAATTTATTAATTTTTATTATTGGTTTTGGTTAGACTTGTTAAAAATGTAGAGGATGTTCTATAGAACAGGTGGGCAAACTCCGCAACTCCGATATTAAAAAATTAATGATTACTAATTATTAGCGAAGCTTATTTCTTATATTGCCCATCTATTCTATAGAATATCCAATGTGGATTTATTGTTATTACTATTATTAGGGTTTTTTTTATTAAGAGATAAGGGTGATTTTAATCAAATTATAGTTTATTGAAATATTTGTTTTTTGTTATATTAGATTGAAGTTTGGTTGGTAATGAAAAGTAAAGTGGAGTTTAAAAACCTAATTGTTGTGATTTTTTTAATAGGCGGTCATATTCTTCTAGCACTAAAGGGTCAACCTTTATAGCAGATTTGTTGAGTGTGCGGATATCTAATGTTGATAGAGATTTAGTGCGGCTTATTGCTACATAGGCTTGTCCGTAAGCAAAGATTTGCTCATCTAGCCAAATTGTTGTATGTTGTAAAGTTAAACCTTGTGATTTATGGATTGTAAGTGCAAATGCACTTTGGAGTGTGTACTGTGTTCTGGATGCTCGTGTACTGTTTAAATTAAAGTAAGCAGTGGTTTTGTTTATTGTCATATCAACTATGCCGTTTGGTACTGGGAATATAACTATAATATTATTGTTTTGGATTTCTCATACGATTCCAATTGTTCCATTGCAGACTCTGGTTGAAAAGTTAGTGTTGTTTAGGTACATTACTCTTGAGCCTACTTTAATATATAAATGTTTTGGTAGATTTGTTCTGTGCTTAAATATATATTCGGTTTGGTCAATTGGTAGTTGGTTCCATTGATAGTGTCAATCGCTAAAGAGTCTATTTCGTTGTTTGTAGTTGGTAGGAGAGAGCAGATAACTTCATTGATATTATCGGCTAGTTGGCGATGGCCGACTATGTTAGTTGTATTTATGTTATAGTTGGTACGGGTTTTTGAAAGTTTTTTTTGCAAAATTTCCCATGAGGAGTCAGAAATTTCTCTAATGCAGATTTTTTTGAAGGATATTGAAAAATTGTAGATCTTGGTCTTGTTGATGAGGTGTAGTTAAAAATAATGGGTAAAAAAGTTTCTATACAGGGGATTGAAATACTGGCATTCCATGTATTGGTGGTAGTTGTGTTAAGTCACCTGAGACTATAATATTAATACTGCCAAATGCAAAGTTATTTTTGTGTATGCAGGCGAAGGTATCTGATATGAAGGTAAATAGTAAGTCAGAAACCATTGATATTTCATCTATTATTATTACTTAAATTTTTTGTAGTTCTTTTATTTTTTCAGTGGATCTAAAGATTGATGTTTGTAGTGTATCAGAGCTTGTAATGTTAAGTGCGGAGTGGATTGTTTTGCTGCCAATATTGTCAGCAGCAACTCCTGTAGGACGACATTATGGCGAATTTATGAAATATCCCAAAATTTGAAAATTTTGACCACTAAGTAAACATTAATAATTTTTGACCGAAATAACTATTGTCTCAGGGTGAGGGTGCATCATTATAATAAATTTATATGTCTAATGAGGTGGAGAAGATGGGTTAGCATGTGGGGAAGATGGGTTAAACGCATTATCAATCAAGATCAGAGGTCCAAAAAACTTTTTCAGGTTTAACATTGATTTATTTATATGTCATTTGGTAACTAAAATTTAAAATTGTGAACCAAATACTCAGATTTAGTGACCGAATTTTAGCTTAATTTCATAAATTTGCCGTAATGAGTAGTAGATATTTAGTGTTTCTGGTTCAAAGTTTAATGATAAGTAAGTTTATTAGATAGGATTTTCCTGTTCTTGCTGGACCAGAAATAGAGCCATTTTTGTTCTTTTTGTGAACCTAATGTTGAATTTAATTTATTTAAGATTATATATTGATCATGAGATATGTTAAAGGGGGCAGTTTTTGGAATGTTAATAGGAAATCTTTGTAGGTTTAGTAGTTGAATATTGCATAAGTTTGCAATTTCATTTTGAGAAATTGAGCATATTAGACTTGTAATCATTTCTTCATATGTGTTTATCATTTGTAAAGAGCGAATTGAATATTGGTGGGTTTTGATTTGTTGAATTAGTTGGTATTGGTTAGTAAAGCAGTTTATATAATGTTCACAGTATGTTAAGTAGTTTCCTTTTATTTCATTTTCTGAGTGGAATGGAATGTTTAAAAGTAGTTGCTGATAGAAAAATTCTTCACCATATTTGATAGTTAGATAGATAGTTTTAATTAAAATTGGATGTTTGCGTTTTGTAACCATGTGATTATTTTGGTCTGTAAATATGTTTGGTTTGTTTAGTGGAATAATTTTTTTCATATAAGTAACTTTGTAATATTCCCAGTAATCTTGATAAGTTAGTTGATTAAATTCAGGGCTAGTAGGTCAGGCAAAATATTTTTCAATCATGTCAGTCCAATATAGATTATTTTCATTATCTTTGATTATGAAAATAGGTAGGATTGTATAGGATCTTGCTTCTGGTAGGCTTGTAGGCAAATATAGAACATCAATACTACTGTAGCATATATGTTTTCTTAAAAGAAGTGTCATTTGTTCCATGGAGCCAAGACATCTTGCTATGATATGTTTTTGATAAGAATTTTGTTTAGTAATTTGAAAAATATCAGGAGGTTCACTTTTAGTAATGTACTTTGTCATGTATTTGGCATAGTGTTTTGTTGTAACATATTGGAAGTTTATATGTGCTTGCCAAATTATTAGTGTTTCAGAGTAGTAAGGGATGATCCATCTGTCCTCTTCTTTAGTGCGGCAATATATATAGCAGAGAGAATTTTTGTCTTTATTTGTAATTTCTGAAAGTGGGGCTGGGAATCCTTTATGACAATGTTCACTAACTGGTGTGAGACCTCCATATAGATGTATAGAACATGAATATACTTGATATTTAAGAACAAAATTATATAATTCTGGTTCGTAGTTAGGGTTAAGTATGTCTGCATGAATTAAGTTTTTATTTATCATTTCAGAAATTTCTACTTCGACCCATGCAACACTATAAGTATAAATTACATCATGATTCTGGAATTCATCATGTTCAAAGTGGTGTATCCATTTTAACCATTTACATAATCTTGTATTGTTTTCCATAGATTATTTTGTATAGCATTTAAAGATAACTATAATATAGTACAGAATGTAAGAGACAGTTTGAAGATATTGTGTTGCCATTGTCAGTTTTTGATAATATTATATATAATTGATACCAGTCGCCTTCTGCCATTGTCATTATATAAAATAGTTGAGAAAGGCCTAAGTTGTTTGACATAGTGTTTAGATTAAGTCTTTTTTGGCGAAAGTAAATGTCTCTAGTATGTAAAAAGCTTGGTAGCATTGATGTTAATAATTCCATTATTACGAGTCCTTGATTGTATGCACTATTATTTATTAATTCTCCTGCAGTTGGTAACCTGAATATGTGATTAAAGTTTCATTTGTGAGTGAGTTTTGTATATTTTGATGAATTCGCAATTTTTCTAGACGCATATATAACCAGCTCAGCCAAAACCAATATAAGCAGAATCTCGGGTCTGGGCATAATAAATTATATTTTATATATTTTTTATAAGTCATTTTACTGGTTTGTTTATTAAAAAAGCCTGTTCCATATAGAAATAGATCTGGAAATAGTAGTGGTTCAAGGTAGTCATTGCCAGTTGAAATTGGAATATGCATATTTGAATCTAGTGGTGATATAAAACCCACCATTAGTCGTTGATAATTGAAATTTTCTTTATATATTTCAGTATCGAAATTATGGTTTGGTATTACAATATCTCTTGAATTTTGAGAGATTCTTGTATAATTAGGATCTGAATATTGTTGCCGTTCTATAGGGAAAACTGTAGTTTTATCATTATTTATAATCGACAAATTTGGCTTAAAATGTTGTAGGTATGAATTGTTTCTTTTTAGCTAGTTAACAGCATTATTTAGAGTTGGATGATACCAATTTGGAGTAGATTCTGTGTTTTGAAAAAATGCACCAAGTTCTTTTAAATATAAGGCTAATGTACAGATATTATATGAATATCCAAAAGAACCTTTTAGGAGTCTATAGTTTATATATGAGTTGCTTCCGGCATGTCTTCCTAGTGAACATTGTAAATATACAGGTGATAAGTATTGATAGTTATATATTGGAACTGCTATAATGTCATCAAAAATTGGTAATAAGTTTGGAGGTAAAGGTTTGATTTGTTTGCGTTTACATGAATTGCATATAGCTATTTTTGGTATACTTGAATTTGGATGAAAATGCAATTTTTCATTTAGAAATTGGTGAGATAATGGGTATGAGAAGTTTTCATCAAATAATTCTCATGAAATTTCTGAAATAAACATTAAAATAAAACAATAGGCACATGTAATGCCAGGAAAGTAATAAAAAATTTTGTCATGAAGATGATTTTTGAGTGTTATTAATTGTAGACTTGGTCTCCAAAATAGTATGTTTTGAAAAATATTTTCAATCTATACACAAAATTTCGTTACAATAATTTTCACATTTTTCTCAATTTACGGAACATTTTATTAAGTTTACAACCTCTTGACTCTTAATAACATTTGTTCAGCTACTGTTTTTACATATATTTTAAAGTTTCAAGTCTGTATCTCTTATTATTCTTGAGATATTCAATTTACAAGAACAGATAGATAAAACTTTGTTTTCCTCTCAAGGTTTTGCCCTTCTGGCAAACTGGGCTTAATAATATACTGATACCTCATAATTGAATTTGCAGAGCTAATTTCTGGCTTCAAAACAAGCTATAGTACATCAAATTTGACCTAAAATTGATCATTTTAGAATCGAAAATATCAAAACTTCCTTTTTTACTCTTTAGATTTTTAAAAAGATCTTCCTAGCTTACCCCATCAAAATCGTTTTTGTGTA